AAAATGCTAATACAATTTGCTCAGCTATTTACTTATATATCTAGTTTGAACTACATGTGGCAAAGAGCTGCAGTCCAGTAAGTTGAGAGAGAAGTACTGAGTGTGGGATTGGTCAGGCTAAGTCCTCCCTTCCCTGATTGGTATACAGTTTGAGATTGGAAAGGAAGGAGAAAGGAAGAGTGTAGTGAGTTGTCTTTTGCACAAAGCCATCACCTAGGACACACACACACACACACACACACACACACACACACACTATAGAATCAGAAAGTCAGATTGAGGGAAGAGCTAAAATCCTAGAGCTACAGAGTCTCCTGGGAGGCAGTTTACTGTAGATCCTCAAGGGTCTGAAGTCTTGACACTGGGAAACTCAGGGATCCACCAGTAATCATAATTCTAAGAGTTAGAATGGCACCAGCATCAGCCACTACTTCCAGGTGCTGGCTTGTGAGCTAAGAAGCAAGATCTTTCATCCCTCCGATCTGGAGCCTGGGCCAGAACACTATCTCCCCCAAAACCAGCCTACAGCATGATAACACCACCTTCCTATCTTCCTGCAAGCTGATCATGTAGTATGTTCATTCAGCCATATTGTCATTGCAAGGATGCGTCGTAGCACGTACACACGCTTGCTCCTTTCCAGGGTGGCTTGACAGGTTGTCTTCTGCAATCAGCGTTTCTGTGCCCTGGGGAAGCCCTTAGGCAAGCCTCCAAACTCTGATTAAAAACTTCTCCCAGCCCTGCAAAAGGACTGATGTACACACATGCATTTTAACCCAATCATTTGTAGGTTACCAGAAGGGAAAAAAAGGGCAAGAAGCAATCAAGTCCCAGATAAGCAAAGAAACTATCAAAGGGGAAGCCTTATAAAATGCCGGGAGCTTGAAGCTGGATGAGACTAAAAATTTCTATAAAATTTTTGATATTTTTCTTCACTAAGGTAAGTAAATGCCACTTCTGTTAGGTGAGTCCTAGATGTCTTGCTTCTCTGTGCTACTCCTGATCACTAAATTTATATATATATATATATATATATATATATATATATATATATATATATCCTTCTTCCTGCCACACGGTTCTATCCCTACAGGGAAGCCCCACATCCTTTAGCTCACCCTGGAGCTGAGAAGTTCGTAATATACTCTATTTTCAAGTAAGTATCAGAGTTGTACAGATGGTTGTGAGCAGAATTTTACACTGTTACTGTGACCACGTGGCCCTCGGCTCCACCCCTAGCCTTCCTCCAATGCTGTCTTCTCACTGAGGGAATTCAAGCCTCTCATGTTCCAGGCCAGGCACCTTCAAAAAACACCCATAAAACACAAATTTTCCTGTGCCTAAAAAGCAGTGCATAATGTGTTCCAGGACTGCCAGACAGGACTTCCTGTGAGCTAGAATGTTCTAAAACTGTGCTACCTATCCTGGGAGCCAGCAGCCATATCAAAATGTAACTTACAGGACAGAGGAACTGAATCTTTAATTGTTTTGTTTGTTTATTTATGCCAGTTCTGGGACTTGAACTCAGGGCCCTGTGCTTTCCCTTGGCAATTGTGTTCAAGGCACTTCACTTCTGCCTTTCTATTCCTAATTGGAGAAAAGAGTCTCAGGTGCTGAGATCCTGAGGTCTCAGCCTCCTGAGTAGTTAGGATTACAGATGTGAGTCACCAGAGCCTGAATCTGAATTTTATTTTAACTGACAAACTTAAAGAGCTACATTTAGTTGGTGGCTAGTGTCTTGAGGAACATAGGTCAGCCTCTACTGATTTCTATGACCACCATCCAATACTCCAGACTACTTCCCTTCAGCACCCAGTTCCTCAGGCCCTTTTCCCTAATAGGCTACACACATTTCCATAACTGCTTTACCAGACAATGTCTGTACTTCAGATCTCAGCACAAATCAGGATGCCACCTTTTCTTCCTGCTCCCTACAAACTGGCTCCTTCCTTCAGGCTAATCACCATTAAATAAAATCATATTAACCTAATAGTTTCCCCTCAAATTGCCAGGTCTCTCCCGTCACACAAAGCAGAGGACATGCTCAGTCACCACGGAGGAATGACCAGTATCTATAGGCCATCTGCAGGCTTGTGGAATGAGATGGGCATCCAATCCTCAAAAACACTGATATGATAATTCTAGCTACTCAGGAGGCTGTTTGTTATCTGATGATCGTGCTTTGAAGCTAACCTGAACAGGAAGGTCTTTGAGACTCTTATTTCCACTAAATTTCCAGAAAACCCAGAAATGGATCTGTGTTGCTAGTCTTGAGCAAAAGAAGCTTTGGGCGCCCAGGTCCTGAGTTCTAGGATCAGTACCCCAAAAACTTACCACTGATGGCTCTAGTCTGTAATTCAAACTAATCTGAAGTCGGAGAGGCAGAAGATTAATGCTCAAAGCTAGCACGCAGGGGAGGGGCAGGGGAGGGGAGGAGGAGGGAGCGCTTAGCCTAGGTAGTAGAGTACCAACCAAGCAAGTAAGGTGAGAAACTATGAGGCCCTGAGTTCAAAGCCTAGTATCAGAAGAAAACACAAAAACAAAACAGAAAACAAAACTATTGCCAGGAGCTGATAGCTCATGCCTGTAAATCTTAGCTTCTCAGAAGATTGAGATGAGGATCTTGGTTTAAAGGCAACTTGGGCAGAAAAGTCCATGTGACTATCTGCAACTAACCAGCAAAAATCTGAAGTGGAGGTATGGCTCAAGTGGCAGAGACTCAGCCTTAAGAGACAAAGTAAAGCAAGAGTGCGAGGTCCTGAGTTGAAGCTCCAGTAGTAGCACAACAACAAAACAACAAATTTAACTGTCCTTTCTCAGGAAATGTGTGTCTGAGGCTGCTCATGAAGCCATCAGCTCACACACATCAAGTGATGCTCCCACAGACATAGAGCAGAACCACTAGATGTGCCCAGCATTCTTCTCCTAATAAAGCTACCATTGTATACATAGCAGATCTGTAAAGAGCAACACAGTCAGTACATATGGGCTGAAAAGGGAGTAAGTAACATGTGCTCATCAACATCTTAGAGAGGACAAAAGCCTCTCCAAGAAGTCTCTGAATGCCAGGCACCAATGGTACATCTCACCTGAATAGGCCTGGGTTGGAGTACAGCTCATTGGTAGAACACACACCCCTGGATTCCACCCCAGCACCCCAATGCAAAACAAGCCAAGTATGAGTGGCTCACACCTATAATCCTAGTTACTCAGGAGGCTGAGATCTGAGAATCCCAGTTCAAAGTCACAGCAAAAAGCCAGAAGCAGAGGTATGGCCTTGGGTGGAAAAAGTCAAGTTAGAGTATGAGGCCCTGAATTCAAGCCTTAGTACTGACACAAAAAACAAAACAGCGCAGCTGGCCTTGTGCAGACAGCAAGCACTGGCTATGGCTGTGGTGCTATGTTTTGAGTATGTCATTCAAATTTCATGGTGTGGAAACTGAACTCCCAAAGTCACACGTGGATAGCACGGAAGTGAGACCTTGGGAGTCATTAAGGTTAAATGAGGTCAAGGAGGTGAGGACCCCCTGATGGCTCTGGTGATTTTATACAAAGAGGAAGAGACCTGATCTGGCACAGCTCTATCTCAGCACATGAGGCCCTCACCAAGTTATGATGTAGCAAGAAGATATCACCAGATACCAGCTCTAAGCTCTTGGACTTCCAACCTCCACAACCATAAGCCAAAGAAACCTTTACTTGTCATAAATCACCTAATCTGTGGTAGGAAGAAAAAGTAGACAAAGATATAAGAAGCATCATGCCAAGAAACCCTGTCAGGACATAAAGTGACACCTTAAGTTGCTAGATCAATGTCAGTCATAACTGCTCTAACACTCAGGAGACATAGCCTTGGCAGGGACCTAGAAGTAAACAGGCAACTGAAGCAAAACAGCAGTTCCTAAAGGTTCCATAGGCTTAGAAACCACTGCAGAGCCAGGTACTCAGACCTGTAATCCTAGCTGTTTAGGAGGCTGAGATCTGAAGATCTCAGTTCAAAGCTAGACAAGGCAGAAAAGCTCATGAGTCTTTATCTTCAACAAACCAGCAGAAACGTTTGACTGGAGGCATGTCTTAAGTGGCAGAATATCAGCAGTGATTGAAAAAGCACCAAAGAGAGAGAGGGAGAGGGAAAAGGGAAAGGGAGAAGAGACAGGCTAACTGCTGTGGAGTTCAGCACCAGCTATGGAGAGAACAGAATAAATTGACTCTGCCAGAAAGTGACTGGCCCAAGCATCTGTGGCCCTCCATGATCTCCATGGAGGAGGTAACTGGGCTTAGCCGAGGCTCAAAGGAGTTTCCTGTCAGTCCCTCATGTGAGGATAGTAAGAATGCATACAAGGGCCCCCTCAAGGAGCCAACTATACCAGTTCCTTTATCTTGGGCTTCTGGCCTTCAGAACTAGGAAAATATAAATGCTTCCTATTCCAATCACCCAGTGTATGGGATTTCATCATGCTGGCCCATGCTGACTGAGACAACTTAGAAATACACACTGACCGTGTGCAAACTGGAACAGGTGGCACTTCCTCATGTGGTTGGTCCACATCTGCCCAGCTTGGCTTAGCTTGCTCTATCAACTCTGCCCTTAGGGAGTAATTAGCCAGTAGGACATGATAGAAAGAGTGCACTCCCAGAGTGGAGGAGAGACCTGGCCACCTCACATACCTTCACACCTCTGGACTATTTCATTGAGAAGAAGAAATAAGACTGGTGCTTACCAACAGGTACTTAGTGGCTAAGAAAAGAGGCTCCACTCAGGCCTTTATCAGCCACCTCTGACAAGTCCTTCTGACAAGTCCCAATCAACACCCAATACCCCAGCCACCGTGAAGAGACACAGGAAGCTGGGGAGGGGAATCATCCTCAGGTCCATAGACAGAGGGCTACATTGTCCAACCCACCAACCATGAGATTAAGAAGGTCCAGCCCTAAGAGGCAAATCATGTGACATGACAAGTCTGGAAATATGAAAAGAGCATCTGCTCTTCCCAGCTTACCTTTCAGAGTAGGACTGGGACTGTCCTGTCCATCGGGTTGTCCTAAAGGGTCATTTGGATCTGGAACCTCCACTTCACCTGGGAAAAGAACACAGGTATACATCAGACAAACCCTCACTTCAGAAACCTATAATTTGTGTCTCAGGAAAAGACAAAGGTATTTGGACAAAATTTCTCACTGTTTGCAATAAACAAGGAGGGACTAGGTATTACGACAACTTGTCCAGGGGTTACTTTCTTTCCTGCCTTCCTTTTTATTTTGGCTAGAAATTTAACCCAGGACTTTAAGTATATTACTCAAGTTCTTTACTACTGAACACTGAAACAGAAACGTTTCTATGACTTTAAAAAACATAGTAGTATAACCAATGTCTGATTTAATTGTGGCCATGCTGTTGGAAGCACGTTTACTGTTCTGTGACAGTCGGCTAAGATTAATTCATTAGTGAAGACAGAAAAAAGAGTTCATGAATCTAACAGAGCCTAAGTGTGCCACTAAATGAAAAAATGAGCATTCCCCTTAGCTTCCTAGTTTCCACAAATAATCACACGTCTTTGAGATCCACTCATAAAAAGCATTTCAAGGAGTTTCACAATAAGGAGCATCTCATACTGTAAAGACCCTCCTTCCCTCCCTCCTTCCCTCCCTCCCTCTCTTCCTTCCTTTCTCTTTCTTTGGGTCTGGTCATGGGGCCTGAACTCTGGGCCTGGGCCTGGGAGCTGTCCCTCAGCTCTTCAGCTCAAGGATAGTGCTCTACCACTTGAGCCACAGAACCACTTCGGCTTTTTTCTTTTTTTACTTATGTGGTACTGAGGAATCAAACACAGGTCCTCATGCATGCAAGGCAAGCGCTCTACCACTGAGCCACCTTCCCAGCCCCTCTTCCTCTCTTTCTCTCTCTCTCTCATACCTGAGGTTTAAGCACAGGGTCTGGGCACTGTCCCTTAGCTTTTTCACTCAAGGTTGGCACCACTTGAACCACCTCTCCACTTCTGGCTTTTTGTTGGTTATTTGGAGATAAAGACTCTCCTGGACTTTCCTACTCTGGGCTGGCTTTGTACCATAATCCTCAGATCTCAGCCTCCTGAGTGGCAAAATCTTTATTTTTTAAATCTCTCCCATACCTTTCTTGGGCAACCACACCACCCTCCCTTGGACAAATAGATGCATGAAATATAGTACTACAACACTTGAGGGCTAGTGGTCCTATCACTAAAACCAAGATGGTACATCAGCTACACAAAGCAGTCAACAAATTGCTGCTGCAAAATTAAAGATTCTCTAAAATCTAAGGCGGAATTTTTTTATTTTGTTTTTGTGCCCATCCTGGGGCTTGAACACAGGATCTGGACACTAGGTCTTAATTTTTTTGATTAAGGCTAAGCTACATCTCTACTTTTAACATTTTGGTGGTTATCTGGGGAAGAATTTCATGGACTTTTCTGCCCTGATCTGGCTTTGAACAATGATCCTCAAAAAATCAGCTTTCTGAGTAGCTGGAATTACAGGCATGAGCCACCAGCACCTAACATAGGATCTGAAGTTTTAAATTGACATATTACAAAAGAAACAAAAATCAAATCCCAGTGCATGTACTAAGCAGCAAAATGGAGTGTTAGCTATTCCCCTAATGCTGACAAGGTCACAGTGACTTTGCATAAATGGGCCAGGCTCTGCTTCCTCTCCTCCCAGACCTGCCCAGACTGGCAACGTCTCCACTTCTGAATTGGAAGCTGACTAAGATGAGTCTGCAAATCGTTCCCCCCATGGAATTGGGACAACAGGCTTGTATTTCTTCAGGGTGTGTATTTATATGACTTTTTCACACTATTTGTCGATTCCTAAGCAGTTAATAATTCTTATGCCTCCTCTTTTCAATATGTGTATATGTAAATACAGTACAAGTGTGTTTGATTTCGTGCCAATTTAAAATGTCAACTGTATGACTAGATTTTCCTAAATGAATATCCTGTACCAGCAAGAAGAGTAGAAGGCTGGATGGAAGTGTGACTATCAGAACATAAAATGGCTTGGTCAGTTGGTGCTGTCAGTACACAGCTCACGTGGGCTCCACACATGGAACAGGACATTTGTGGAGCAGCATGGGAAGTAAGAGCTGTTCCCCAGAGTACCCAGGAGTTTGGCTGTGAGACACAGGCAGAACGACTTGTCTGGTGGAGCAACATCCCTGACCTACCCTGTTGCAGAGTCACTGTTCCTACTGCACAGTCACAACCCAACAACCTACTTGGCAACCATTGTTGCTGCACCTAGTAATATCTCCTCTGCGCTTATGCTGAGTAAGCAGTCTCCTTATCTTCAGAATTGCTTTCTGTCAACCAAGGTACAAACATATGACATGGAACATTACAGAACGCGTAAACTTTAAATTGTGTGTAGTTCTGAGTAATGTGATGAGTTCGTGAGTCATCCACTCAGATGCAAACCACTGCTTGGTCCGGAATATCCATGCTGTATGCCCTGCCTGACCATTGGTCACATAGCAGTGATCTTCATTATCAGACTGACTATACAGTGACATGTTTCTTGTGTTCAAGTAGCCGCTAAGTAGTAGTCTAATGTCACATTTCAGTGTCCTTGCCATTCACCTTTCTCATCTCCTCATGCATGAGTTGTATCAATTCACATCATCTCAAGAGGTACTCAGGGTGAGTGCAATATAATAAAGTACTTTGAAAGAAAGAGAAAAGACTAGAGTCACATAATTTCTATTGCAGTACACTGTTAAAATTGTCTTGTCTCATTAATCTTATTAATCTCTTACTGGGCCAAATGTATAAATGAAACTTTATTACAAATAGGAACAAACACCTACATAAAGAGTCTGGGACTGCTGGGCACCAGTGGCTCGCACCTGTAAGCCTAGCTACTCAGGACATTGAGATCTGAGGACCGCAGTTAGAAGCAGTCTGGGCAGTAAAGTCCATGAGGCTCTTATCTCCAACTAAGTACCAGAAAACCTGAAGTGGTGTTGTGGCTCAAAGTGGTAGAGCACTACAGCTTTGAGTGAAAAAGCTCAGGGACAACACCTAGGCCCCACAACTCACACACACACACACACACACACACACACACACACGGGGGGGGAGGGGGAGAGGGAGAGAGGGAGAGGGAAGGAGAGAGAGAGTCTGGGACTCCTTATTGCTATGCATCCTCTGATGTCTTGAGACCCGCCCCGCCCCAGATGAAGAAATGACTAGTTCTTCATATCAAGGATCCTTTAGTTTCCCTGGTTCAGGTTTCCTCTGTCTCCAGCTATCTGACAAGCTTGCTTTAGCAAAGCCTGTGCCCACATAGCAGGAAGAGTTGTGGAAAGGTTGTGGAGCATTCTGCACTCTCAAAGAGAACATTATGAAAGCAGACACATCTCAACTCCTCAGCACTTTCTCATCTGTAAAGAAGAACACTACTCTAGACAGATCATGTGGCTTCATATTAGTGACATTTCAACAGGTTGTTCCACTCCATACGAAAGACTCACACACGTTGAAGAGTTGTTTAAAACACCTTTAAAAAATATTTTATTGTAAAGATACTGTACATAGGGGTTACAGTTACACGAGTACATTTCCTATCAAGCATTGTTACCCCCTCCTTTGTTTTCCCCTACTATCCCTTCCTTTCCTACCTCCCCAACTCCTCCTTCCCCGCCGCCCCACCAAAGTTTTAAAGTTCATTTTCAACATAGTGTCTTGTATGTCTCATTGTTACAATGAGAAAACCTGTATCCTTGTTTCGGTATTTTGTTATTTCTCTTCCCCTCCCCAAATTAGAAAAATGTATATATAAGAAATAGGGCACCAGAATCAAATACAGTGACAACAGGGGTTATACCATGGGGGAAGAACACACAAAAGAAACAAAAAAAAATCACATAGTACATTAAAAACAACAAAGATAAAACCTCTTGTGTCCCTATCTTAGGGCTCATTTAACTTAGCATCATCTTATTTGGTCATATGTGCATAGCTTTTTTTTTTGGGGGGGGGGGGCAATGGCAGTCATGGGGCTTGAACTCTAGGCCTGGGCACTATCCCTCAGCTCTTCAGCTCAAGACAAGTGCTCTGTACACAGCTTTTGACCTTTTCTGTTTGTCTGGTAAGATTACCCTAGACATATACTAGTATTACAAATAAGGAAAACAGTTCCCCTATGAGCCAGCAATCCCACTTTTAGGCATTCACCCAAACAATCACAAAGAAGGCCATACTAAAGCTACCAACACAACTATGTTCATCACAGCATAGCTAAAATATGGAACCAACACAGATGTCCCTTATAAAACACCTTTTAGGGGCTGGGAAGGTGGCTCAGTGGTAGAGTGCTTGCTTTGCATGCATGAGGCCCTGGGTTCAATTCCTCAGTACCACATAAGCAGAAAAAGCCAGAAGTGACACTATGGCTTGAGTGGTAGAGCACTAGGCTTAGGCTGAAGAGCTGAGGGACAATGCCCCGGCTTAGACTTCAGGCCCCATGACCTCCCCCCCCCAAAAATACACCTTTTATATTCCGTCCCTCTCTGCCTCTGTTTTTGTCTCTCTCAAGTTCTGAGGCTTGAACTCAGGGCCTAGTGCTCTCACTTGCTTCGCTTGCTCAAAGCTGGTGTTCTACCACGTGAGCCATTCTTCCAGTCCGGTATTTTTGCTGGTTAATTGGAAAAGGAATCTCTTGCATTTGTCTGCCTTGGCTGGCTTCAAACCCCCAAGTTTCCAGACCTCAGCCTCTGAGTCGCTAGAATTGTAGGTTTGATACCCTCCCATTTTACTTTTAATGATTTTATCCAGGAAAGGGCTCCAAAGCCAAGCATCAGTGCTGATCAGGGACCTAGAATATGACTGGATTCACTGGTTTGAATGTCATTCAATAATACTATGCCAGCAATTAGACACCAAACTCTTTGGAGAATGGCTGAAAACTACATTGACTGTCATTGACCCAGTGATTTCAGTCCTTGGGCATATTCTGAGGAATACTTTATCAAGGCCCTGTGTGTTCAGGGTTGGACCAATAAATGTCTATAGAACAACAAGGGACAAGACTCACTGTTATATTAACAATGCTTATTGGCAGTCATTTTCACA